AAGAATTAACAAAATTGATGGACCCCCCTACCCGGAATGACCAAGAAAAAGAGAGAAAAAATCCAAGTAAACAATCAGAAATACAAAAGATCAAATCACAACTGACCCCAAAGAAATGCAAAAGATTATCAGAGATTAATATTTACACCTGTATGTATGGAAACAAACTTGATAACCTAAATGAAATGGAGAACTTTCTGACGTCACACAACCTCCCCAAGTTGAAACAAGATGACATTGAGACACTAAATAGACCAATTACAACCCAGGAAATTGACTCTGTCATACAAAACCACCTACCATAAAAACAAACAAAAAACAACAAAAACAAAACCTGAACCAGATGGCTTTCCAGCAGAATTCTTCAAAATGTACAAGGAGGAGTTGATACCAATTCTATTGAAAGTATTCCAAGCAATTGAGAAAGGTGGAATTCTCCCCAAATCATTTTACAAAACTAACATCACACTGATACTCAAACTGGGTAAAGATCTAGCAAAAAAAAGAGAACTACAGACCAATACCCCTTATGAACACAGATGCGAAAATTCTCAACAAGATCTAGCAAATCAGATCTAAAAACACATCTCAAAAAACATCCACCATGACCAAGTAGGCTTCAACCATAGGATGCAGGGCTCATTCAACATTCGCAAGACTATAAATGTAATTACATACATCAATAGATGTAAAAACAAGAACCACATGATTATATTCTTAGATGCAGAGAAAGTTTTTGATAAAATCCAGCATCCCTTCTTGAGAAAAACCCTCAAACACCTAGGTATAGAAGGAAGATACCTCAAAATAGGAAGTGCCATCTACGATAAACCCACAGCTAACATATTACTAAATGGACAGAAACTGGAAACATTTACCCTGAAAACTGAAACAAGACAAGGCTGCCCATTTTCACCCCTCTTATTCAACATTGTGTTGGAAGTTCTAGCTAGGGCAATTAGACAAGAAAAGGAAATCCGGGGCATCAAAATAGGAAAAGAGGAAGTCAAGTTATTGCTCTTTGCTGATGATATGATCCTATACTTTGAAAATCCAAGAGAATCTGTCAAAAACCTGCTTGCACTGATAAAGGACTTTGGCAAAGTCTCAGGGTACAAAATAAACATGCAAAAGACAGTTGCATTCCTATACACCAACAACAAGCAGGCAGAGACCCAAATTAAAAGCACAATCCAATTCACAATAGCCACCAAAAAAATGAAATACCTCGGCATCTTCCTAACTAGAGAAGTGAAATAACTTTACAATGAGAACTACAAAACACTGCTCAAAGAAATCCAAGAAGACACAAACAAATGGAAAAATATTCCATGCTCATGGATAGGAAGAATCAACATTGTTAAGATGTCCATCCTACCTCAGGCAATCTACAGATTCAACACAATACGCATTAAGTTACCAACATCATTCTTCTCATACCTGGAAATGGCAATACAGAAATTCATATGGAAATATAAATGACCATTAATAGCCACAACAATCCTTAGCAAAAGAAACAAAGCAGGAGGTATCACACTTCTGACTTCAAACTTTACTATAAATCCACAGTAATCAAAACAGCCTGGTATTGGCACATAGACCAATGGAACAGGATGGAGATCACAGAAGCAAATCCTCAATTTCTCAACGAGCTCATCTTTAACAAAGCCTGCAACAACAATCACTGGGGAGAGGAGAACCTATTCAGTAAATGGGGGAAAACCGACTGATCACATGTAGAAGATTGCAACAGGACCCCTACCTATCACCATACACAAAAATTAACTCTAAATGGATCAAAGACCTAAACATAAAACCTCAAACTATAAGAATCTTAGAAAACACAGGAGACACCCTTATGGAAATGAGAACTGGCAAAAAAAAATTCTTGATCAGAACCCTAAATACCTATACCTTAAGAAATAAGATAGACAAATGGGACCTCATCAAACTAATGAGCTTCTGCAAAGCAAAAAAAACCATCAAGAGATCAGGGAGACATCCCCAGAATGGGAAAAAGTATTTGCCAACTGTATGTCTGACAAAGGTCTAACATCTGGGATCTGCAAGGAACTCAAATGCACCGAAAGGAAAAAACAAACAGCCCCATTAAAAAGTGGGCAAAAGACATGAAGAGACACTTCTCAAAAGAAGATATATGGGCAGCCAACAGACACACGTAAAAGTGCTCAGTCTTACTCATCATTAGAGAAATGCAAATCAAAACCACACTGAGATACCACCTAACCCCAGTAAGAATGGCCATCATTCATAAAACAAACAACAGATGCTGGTGAGGACATGGAGAAAAAAGAATGCTTCTACGCTGCTGATGGGAATGCAAACTAGTGTAACTTCTTTGAAAGACAGTGTGGCATTTTCTGAAAGAACTAGAAACTGACCTTCCATATGACCCAGCAATCCCCCTATTAGGCATATACCCAGAGAACTCAGATCTTTCTACAAAATAGATACCCACACACGTATATTTGTCACAGGTCTATTCACAATAGCAAAAACATGGAACCAACCATGTTGCCCAACGAAGCTGGACTGGATTAAAACAAAATGTGGTACATATGCACAACGGAATATTATGCAGCCATAAAGAAGGACAAACACATGGACTTCGCAGCAACTTGGATGGATTTAGGGTCGATCATACTCAGTGATCTATCACCGAAACAAAGAACAGAGTACCATATGATCTTACTCATAAGTGGACCTTGAACTATTATAATACTATAAGAAAGGGATTGGCAGTAGTGGAAAACTGTCAGGGGAGGGTGGTGGGATTGGCAGTTGAGGGAAACTGCTAGAGGAGGGAGGGGCATACATCATTAACGGGGTACCTGCATGATTAATGTTTGTATACCTAACCCTGAATTGTACCCCACATCTTTATAATAAAGAAAGTAGAAAACAAAACAAAATAAAACAACAATAATAAAAAACATGGAACCAACCATGCTGCCCAATAAAAGCAGACTGGATAAAGAAAATATGGTACATTTACATGATGGGATACTATACAGTCATAAAGAAAAACAAAATTATGAACTTTCCAGCAACCTGGAAAGTTCATTAGAATCTAATTAGAATCTATAATACTCAGTGATTTATCACAGAAGCAAAAATCTGAGTGCTGCTCCCTTATAAGTGGACCCTGAATGTTTATCATAATACCATAAGAAAGGGATTGGCAGTAGTGGGACACTGTCAGGGGAGGGGGAAGCACATAACACCAATAAGGGTATCCATACTTTACCTGCATGATGACCATATATGTGCCTAACCCTCATTTGTACCCCACACTTTTAAAATAAAATAAAATACTTATAAAAAATAGACTAAAACAAAATATTGATTGCATTTCAAAAAAAAAAAAAAAAAGAAGAGCACCTGACATTTAGTATAAGCTAATGATTGCTACCATTGTTATTATTGTTGGTATTATTGTTATTTTGGAGTCAGGGTCTCACTCTGTCATGTCACCCAGACTGGAGAGCAGTGGGACAACCACTGTTCACCACAGCCTCAACTTTTGGACTCAGTTGATCCTTCTGCCCCAGCAACGTGAGTAGCTGAGACTACAGGAATGCACATCATACCCACCTAACTTTTTTCTTAGATACAAGGTCTCGCTACATTGCCTAGGCTGATCTGTAACTCCTAGGCTCAAATAGTCCTCTGGCTTCGGACTCACAAAGTGCTGGGGTCATAGGCATGAGCCACTGTGCCCAGGCTATTGTTATTATTTTGTTTAGAATCATTTAAAAATCTGTAGATAGCACCTTTTAATTTCCCAAGTAAAGATAAAACAAACAACTTTTTTATCAATCTTTCATGATAGCTTCATTTCAAATAATCATGGACTTTTCTTTCAATGGTCCTCTTTCTTTGCTGGAATAAGAGAGTGTCCCAATAGAAACAACCACTATTTGAACCTTTGGATTAATTACTTTGACTATCCTTTACATACAAAGCTAGAAAAAAACTACCTTAGGTAAGTTTTACTTTTACTCTGCACCATCTAATCAGTGGAGAGGGAAGCAATTGGATTTTTAATATTTAGTTTGCTCACTATATATTTATTTTACCCCTAAGTACTTTTACCTGCCTTAAAATAAAAGAAGAAAAAGATGGGGTAAATGTGTGTGGGTGATAGCAATTTAAGAAGGAAAAAAAGAACAGTAGAAATTGGAAGGCAAATGGTTAAATGTATATTACCCTCTCTCAGATTTATCCTGTGGGGTTGTCATTCTCTACAGGGTTACAGTAGGAGATCTAACTGTATGTCAATGCTTTCTTTCCCATGAGAAATAAATTGAAGTGCAGAGTTACTGGCTTGGTGAGTTCAGTGATCTGAATGTTAAAAAGAGATGGGCTAAAATGGACCCCATGGCATGCACTACTGACTGTCAGTGACCAGGAACGTCCTGCCACTGGTTGACCAATGGAAGGTTGGTGATTTTGTAAACCTCTGTGGATTGCCTCTGGCACAAATAAATATATGAACAAGCCAAGACTTTCTATGTGTATTTTCAAGATATTTAAAGTTAATCATTGCTGAGAGAAAGATAACAATAAGTCTACAGATTTATTAAAGAAATAATTCTAATAACGACTAGACTTAAACATACTGAATTTGTCTGTTTTCTTCCATCTCATAGATTGTGTGATATCATCCTGAAACATAGGTCTGGATATTGTAAGTTACATACTAATCTGCTTTAAAGAATCCAGATGCAGTATACGAATTGCAAACACTTTGAAGCAATGGAAGTTTTTTGGGTATTTTTTGTAAGATTATTATGACAAGGAAAGGTTTATCATTTCACATGAAAGGAAAGTGAACCTCTTAAAACTACACAGTTAAACATAGCAAAAGCTGTAGGTTTTAGTTCCTTCATTCACAGCAGAGGTGGCTGAGTACTTTTTTGGAGGTGGTAGCTTTGATGCTGAGGGAAACTTGGGTTTAGTTAATGTGCAAAGATTACCTGTCCCAGGGATCGCCAGTCCAAACTGGCACTGCCGATATAAACGTGCTGTTTGTCCACGATCCAGAAGGAGGACTGCAGTCGGCCGTTGTTGTAGGCAGTCATGTTCATGTACGTCACCTCGGCTCCTAGGAGTTCAAGGACAGCCTGGTCAGCCTCTGCTGCAAGGCCCTGCACTGGCTATCAGTCATCTACCAGCAGCAAAGCTCATGGTTTGTCATTGGTTGCAATTGACATTTAGGGAAGACAAATATTTATATTAGTTCGGTGCAGAGGTGCAGAGAAGGCACTCAAAGTGCCACTTTGTTCCCTCAAAAAAGGAATGCAAAAAAAATGGAAAGAAAGAAACAGAGACTGTTCCTATGTATATACAGAGGAGGCTCTGTACATATTGACAAAACCATGGCTTCTCAAGTCAGACACATCTATACCAAAACCCTGGCTCCACCGCTTACCACCTAGACAGCAAGGTAGGTACACCATACTCTTCCCCCCCCACTTTTAGAATAATTTTAATACAATTTTGCGATCAATAAAAGGATCAGTCATATTCAGTATCACATCTTGCCTAACAAGAACTTGGCCTTGGCTTCTTATCCTTTCTATACATTGCTTCATCCTTTTGCCCCTTTCAGATGCCTTCACTTCTTCATTGTCCCTTTTTTTATTAAATTTGGATTTGATCTCTTCTTGGATTTTATCTGATAGTTCTTAATATACGCAATAATTACTCAGGCTTTACTGAAATACCATCCTGAATGGTTAGCCAGGTAGCTCAATATTATTAACTCCTAAAACATATGTGAAGAACTAAATTTGACTACTTGTTTTAAGCTTTGAAATAGGGACCAAGTGCTTAATTCACAGACACCAACACCAAAAGTACAAGTTATAAAAAGGAGAGGTTTTATTTAGTCAAGAGCCGGACCGGCGGCCACTTGCCTGTTGGACAAGCAAGGGGCCCACAGCAAGGAGCCTCATTAGCTGTAGGGGCTTGCTTGAGAAAGGCTAAACCACATTGGGAGTTTCCTAGTGGGCTACACCGCAACATCCTGGAAGCCTAGGTACCTTTTAAGCAATGCAAGCATGGTTCACAGAAGCGAAAAAAAAAAAAGCTGTTAAACGATTTAACCTAGCCAGCAAGTGCTGTTGCCAGTTTCCAGGAAGGGAACTTTTTTTTTTTTTAAACTGTGCAAAGGTTGAGTACAAGTGTAATTTAATTTTTGACATTGTAGATGTTTTTAAAGCCCCCTTTCACAGCTTCATGTGGCAGGACCAAGCCTTTATGCAATGCTGCCCCAAATGCATTTACAACTTCACAAAAAGAGCATATAGTCTATTCGATGCAAGGCCATTTAAATAAATTTCTGCTAAAGATTCATTCTCTTTAAAAGAACAGACCTACATGCATATATTTAACGAACTAAGCTATTCTGTCTTCATGTATTCATTATTAATGAAGATCATGTATTCCAGGGGCATACTTCATTATCAGAATCTTCATCACTAGAGAAATACATAATGTTGTATGCAGAAGGATACATTTCAGGATATTAGAAAGGAGGCGGAGTGATTTACACTATGAACTTAAGATTAACCTCTGACTCTTGGGGAAAACGTAAGCTATGCAGGAGGATAAAAAGAGAGGTAATGGGGTTGAGAGAGGACCTGAGGGAAAGTGAACACCCATGCAGATTTTCATGGGGAATGGAGCAGTTTCTTTATCTCATAAATGACAGGCACACATTCCTCAGCCTCCAGCCATCCTAGAATAGTAACACCCAAAGAAGAGTTACGGATCCCAGAGCAAGCAACGTTGGATAGAAAAGGATCTGAATGTCCAAAGTGACTAGTTATCATGGCAATTATGGAGATACCCGAATCTTCACAAAGGTGTGGCAGGCCTCACCACAGACACAGCTGCCAGTGCTCCTGAGTGGATGAACAGCACATTTGTCCTTGGAGAATGTATTGGGTTCCTAGGGCTGCTATAGCAAAGTACCACATGCACTGAGTGACTTGAAACAGCGGGATCTCAGTTTAGGATGTTAGAAGTCCAGAATCAAGGTGTCAGCAGGACCATGCTTCCTCTGAAACTTGTAGGGCAGAATTTTTCCTCGCCTCCCTGGAGGTGGCTGTTGTTAGTGTCTAGTGTTCCTTGGCTTATAGCTGTAGCACTCCCATCTCTGCCTCTGCTGTCACACGGTGTCTTCTCCCTGTGTCTCTGTTTTCTTTTCTTATCAGGATGCTACCTATGGTAGATTAAGGGCCTACCTCGCTACAGTATGCCCACATCTTAACTAATTACATCTGCAACAACCCTATTTCCAAGTAAGCTCACATTCTGCAGTACCAGGAACTGGGTGTTCAACACATCTTTGGGGGGGACACGATTCAAACCATAAAAGAGACCCAGGTCCCTTTAACTGACCACGTTTTTCAATATAATAAGTTGGCTAGCACTAAAGGAAGTGCCCTCTCTTGTCTTTGGAGGGAGGAGAATGCAGGTAACCTTGGTGTTTGCTTCAGATTCCACTTCAACATGCCCCTCTAGTCAAGCTTTCCCTTGATTTTTTTATTCTGCCTACAGGCTACCTGAACCCTCTGTGACATCACTGGCCCTCACCTCCTTGGAACACTGTGTCTAAAACTTGGCCCCATGACTAGGTACCACCTTGCATCAGACGGTGTATTCATTCTTGAGCCCTAGCCCACTGGCCTGAGGCAGCACTGACTCTATCTGATGGGCCCACTGGGGAATGTCTCTTCTGATCTCTCCATCCCTGGTGCCTGCATATACATCACTCTACACATACCACATTATTTACTTTGCAAATACCCAGAGGTGTACAAATCATTCTTCAAAAAAGATACCTGTGCACACATGTTTACTGCAGCCGTATTCACAATAGCAAAAACATGGAACCAACCGTGCTGCCCATCAAAAGTGAACTGGATTAAAAAAATGTGGTACATATACATGATGGAATATTACACAGTCATAAAGAAAGACAAAATTATGGACTTCACAGCAAATTGAATTTATTTAGAATCCATCATACTCAGTGATGTATCGTGGAAACAAAGACCTGAGTACTACATGTTCTCACTCACAAGTGGGTCCTGAACGTTAATCATGACACTACAAGAGAGGGACCAGCAGTAGCAGGACACTGCTGGGGGTCGGGGGAAACACATAACATCACCAAAGGTATCTGATCCTAAACCAGGGGAAGTGAGGACCAGTGGGAGGCCCAACCTTCACCTGTACATAGATCACTTATGTACCTAATCTTGACCCGTACCCCACATCTTTAAAAAAAAAAGAGTTTGATTTCAAAGGTCTTTTGTAACCCTCCAGTTAGAGTCTCTGTAGATACTTAATGATACTTAAAATTATTATTTTACAAAGGAACAATAAAGGTTTGGCAAACCTTTATTGAATATCTGACATATACTAGATGTTGTGCTGTGTGAAATTAGAGATAAAAGACCTAAAGTGGGCCGGGCTCAGTGGCTCAGCCTGTAATCCCGCGCTTTGGGAGGCCAAGGTGAGTGAATTGCCTGAGCCCGTGGGTTCGAGACCCGCCTGGGCAACTTGGCGAGACCTCATCTCTACAATAAATCAGAAAAATTAGTCGGGTGTGGTAGCACGCACCTGTAGTTCAAGCTACTTGGAAGGCTGAGGCGGAAGGATCGCCGGAGCTTAGTAGGTCGAGGCTGCGGTGGCCAGGGGCGGCCACTGCACTCCAGTCTGGGCGACTGAATGAGACTCCAACTCAATAAAAAAAAACACACACACACACAAATTTATTTCTCATAGTTCTGGAAGTTGAGACGTCTAAGATCAAAGCGTTGGTGGATTTGGTGTCTGATGAGGGTCCCCTTCTAGTTCATAGATGGCACTTTCTCACTGTGTCCTCACATGGTAGAAGGGGGAAGGGGTCTTTCTTGGGCCTCTTCTTATAAGGGCACTAATTCCATTTAAGGACGTTTCTGACCTCATGACCTAATTACCTGCCAGAGACTTTACCTCCTAATATCATCACCCTGGGGGTTAGGATTTCAGTACATGAGTTTTTGGGGACACAAACATTCAGCTCAGTGTTTGCAGTGCAAACTTTAAAATGATCAGAAGTGCTCTGTTCCTGTTTCTCAGACAGAAGAGGGCATTGATGATTGGAGAAATCAGAAGGGGGAGTCTTTAATACTATATAGTGAATCCCAAATGAAGGCCAAGAGCAAGAAAGATAGTGAGTGGCTTCACAGGTCCACCCGAAGCCAGATCCCTGTGCAAAAAGCCAGCAGAACTGTATGCAGAGATCAAACATCTCATAATGGTAATTCCCATTTATTGAAGCCCTCTGTATGCCCAGTGCTGAGACAGTTATGTTATAACAATCTCACACGGTATGCCTCATTACCTCTATTTGAGTATATAAAATACTACTGTATGTGGTGTAGGAAAATTCATTGAAAATACTTAATGATATATCTGGAAAAATATCTTTCTGCATATGATTTGACTTCATATGAGTTCTCCTTTACAAATTATTCATTTTTCTGTTTTTCTATCAAAAAATCTATTCTTCATCTATCTCTGAAGACACATATACTTTTATCTTTATTAACAGCTGAATAGATACACATTTAATTATACTCAGCATGACCTTCAGTTATTACAACCATGCTATTCTATATTTTCCTTAAAAGAGTTTACTTGTACTTTTCGAATATATTTGTTCATTGGTTATAGAAATTATCCTCCTCTCATTGAGTTTAAAAAAATGCATTAGGAAGAGATGGCTAAAACTCAATATTGTTGGGCCATAAAACATATTTAATTACAAAAAGTCTTAAATGTGCTACTTATTGCAGTAGGAGTATTATGTGCACAACTTAAATTTGAGTTATTTTATATTGCTGTGCTAGAATTTTAGTTAGCAAGAATGGTTACATATGGTACATATCTGAACATTGAGATAAAAAGGCAGGGGAATTTTTAAAAATTTTTGATGCATTACAATTATGAAAATACAAACAATGTAATACTGAATAAATCAAGGTCTCCATTTACTTTAAAAAATCTTACCTTGATTTTTATAGGAGAGGTAGCTTCAATTTCTCCTTCTCTGA